TGTTTTAATTTTTTTCAGAAAATGAACAAATTTTTTACGATCAAGACATGCTTTCAAGTGATGATTCTACAGAAGAAGAATCAGAGGACAGTAGTGATGAGGAGGAAAATTGAAGATACTTTTCTAAACATTTTTATGAAACGTACTTGTAACAAATATTTTTTATGATAATAAACCTATAAAATTGATTATACATTCTAATCGTGGAATTTTCAATAATAACCTCACAGTCTCCTTTTTTTTTTAATTCGATAAGATTTAAATTCAAATGTTTCATTATTGCTTATAATTGCACTATCCTTCTATCTTGAGAAATTAAAAGTTTACAAAAAAAAGTTGTCTACATAAATAAATTTTTTTTATTTCTATTCAAAAATATAAATTTTAAATGTACAGCTGGTAAAGGACACGTGACCAATAACCAATAAGAAGCGTAGCTGCCGAGGCAATCGGTGCTCTCACTCAGATCGCCAACCACGAGCAGTCTATCTCTTTCTATTTTAAATAAGACTAATTTTCATGTTTGCCGGTAATTAAACTCCGGAAAAACTGTCTGGCTTTTTGTTAATAATTTATTTAATATTTAATTAAGAGGCTATTAAAATTTCAGAGTGAATCAAAAGCTTCAAATGGTATTTTCTAAAAAACAACTTTGAGGTGGATTAATTAAATGTAAACCCCCTCAAAAGTGTATGCCTTATTAAATTTTATGTGTTAAATTATTTAAACTTTTGATTAACGTTTGTTGGCCTCTGAATTAAACATTTTTTTGGATTATATTTTATTACACCTTTCTATTATGCGCAGTGCCAGGTGTTCCGGGATGGGTCAAGCTAACACAGGTATTCCAGCTTGGTATCCCATAGATACTAGAATTAAAAAATATTAAGATGCATCAAACACTTCATGAAACATGCGTTACCAGCTCTTGGACTATTTAACTTTATCAGCTGAGCACTTTTCCCTCACTAAATATAAAGCTGAGTATATTTTTTCATTTAACTTATTAAATTAGCTATTGTATTAACAAATTTCAGCTTTTGCGGTATGAAATATCTATAATTTTTCCATTTTTTAAGTCTTAGTAGTAATTATATAAAAATATACAACTTTTTTCGAATATTTATTTACAATAAACGTTATGTATGAAAAAATTTAGTCTATTTCATCTTCCAATTCATCACCCTCAAACTCATGGTCGCTGGAGTCAATGTCGATTCCTGCCATTTCTTCCTCATCATCTGTAAATATATAATAATAATAACCACGGTAGCGTATAGTCGGTCGAGCATGCCGTGGCAGGCATTTTTTATTCTGGTCCGGGTTCGATCCCTGGTGTCGGCACTGGCAATGTCGTTGGATAAAGGGTGTTTGTCCGCGTTTTTTCAAGTGTAACTCTCTTCCGCACAGCCTCTGGCTTTGGATTTGGGGGTTATCTCATTTCTGTGGTGTGTTTTATGTTGTTATTAAAAAAAAACGTTAATTATAAAAAATAATTACATATAGTACGAAGATTTTTAAATATTTTTAAATTGTATTTTACATATATGTAAATTAAATAATCAAAAATTTACACTTAAATAATTAAATTTTATTATAGAGCGAAATATATTAGTATAATTCTAACCTGTACTATTTCTTTGTTCATCCTCGATAATTATATCTCCAAGGGAAGAGGGCAGCTGTTCACCCTCGAACCATTTGAAAATAAATTTGTCTCCCTTCTCTTCCCAGCCGAAATCAGTCGAATATAATTCTCTTGGGACCTGAAGATGAGCGTGTGCCCAAATATTTGCAATGTACGTTGTCCGCAGCAAATGTTGATGCAGTTCAATTTTATGTTATGTATACCTAAGTATTTAAATGTAAATATTTATTTATTAAAACTATTTAAATTGAAAAACTCGTGAAATCGTTTATTGTAAATAAATATTCGAAAAAAGTTGTATATTTTGATATAATTACTACTAAGACTTAAAAATGGAAAAATTATAGATATCTCATACCGCAAAAGCTGAAATTTGTTAATACAATAGCTAATTTAATAAGTTAAATGAAAAAAAACTCTGCTTTATATTTAGTGAGGGAAAGGTGCTCAGCTGATAAAGTTAAAGATACAACGCACCCGCGCGTATAGCGATGTGCTGCACCTTCAACTCGTCAGCTGAGCACTTATACACCACAAAAACTTCAGCGGACCATTTTTTTCGTATAACTGGTTAAGTTGACTATTATTAAGCTGTGCTATTACTTTGCCAACTTTCAGCTTTTGGGGTATCAGTTTACCTAGCGCATATTTTTGACTTGTTTAGGTGAAATGCTGCGGCATAACCCCCCACTCTAAAGTCAGCGGATTGCGTTTTTTCTTTTGTTTATAACATAATTAACTTGTCGACAAAGTCTCAGCTTTTGCGGTATTAATTTTTTTATTTTATTATTTTACGTGTTTGGGAGGCTGCCGCAGCTGCACCTCCCGGAACTGCGCGAGCTGGGGGTCGATTTACTTACTAGTGATACCAAATGAAGCGTAGGAAAAATTTTCAGCTTTTACCAAATGACTAACTCAAAACGGTTGCTGGCTCTTGGGCTATAAGTTACCTTACTTACCTCCGTTATCCATAGCAACCTTCACTTCTACGGTAAAATCCGCTTACCTCCTTAAAAACAATGTATTAATAGTCTATTTACTATAGTGGGAGCAGATAAAATTTATTTCATCAAGGTCAAAATATTGGTTTATTTTTTTTAGTTTTTATTCAGTATTATGTGTTTTAAAAGTCTTAAGTGTTTAAAAGAATTCATATATATTAGATAAAAATTCATTCGTTAAAAAATACTAATTTGACGTTGTTTTCACTTAAATTTTTGTGTAAAATAAAGTGATTTGGCTATTTTTTATGCACAATAAATAAATAAAGAATCATGCTTGATGAACCTACAATTATTAGTTTATCAAATTAGTTCACTTTTTTCATATCCGACATGATGTGGGTAGCTCTAATTAGAAATAAAACTTATAGGGGTGATAAATAGATATCATCAAGAAAGTAGACTTGTTATACATATAACTGAAAATAGTCAAAAAAAATTTTAATGTTTCATACACAATTAATTTAATTTTTTTGTTATTAAACGGTTAGTTTTAATGTAAGAGGTAAAAGTTTTACCAGGTTCTCCGATACGTACTTTTTAATTTCAAATTAACTAATGACTTAATACAAAAATAAAACGATAAGTACAGGGCAAGTTTTTAGTCACATTATTTAATTTTCTGTCAATATCTGAGGAAGTCGCAAACACCTTATTGCACTTTCTTGAAGAATTATACAAGGTGTAACTGAAATAAGTATTCAAAATTTCTGAGCTTGTAAAACAAGTCGAAAAATGACGAAAACTTTAGTACAATTTTTGTCAGTGGCGGCTCCTAAGGGAGCTACGCTCTCCTAAAGGGGTAACCTCGGAAACAGTTTTTAATGCGTAACATCCAAACGGCTCGACATTAAGTCACGAAATTTTGGTGAGATATTAACCTTGACGTGCTTAATAAGTCTCATAAAATACATTTCAAAATTTGCTACAGGGGCGTGAGAAAATGCAGGACCCAGGGACAAATTTAATCATATCTTTTTTGTAGTCAATTTTTTCTAGTTCCTGACTCGAAAATATTGAAATTTGAAGTATTTAACATAAAAAAGGTCCTCTTGTTAAATTTCACTAGGATGTGCCGTTTTCCAGTAAAATCGATTTCAATCATTCCCAACGTGCTCCAAATTCAACTTTCATTACATAGCAAAATAAATTAATTGCAGTGTGCCATGGGGAAAACAACTAGTCTGACAGTTAACAGAAATGTCAAATATTTTTAACACTCTTAATAGTAACAAATAAAAATATGGTGATATAAATAAAAGCTAAAAAATAGATACATATGAGATTATTTATTAAACTATTGTAAGCGGCTGAAACTTTTACGTAACATTTTAACAGATTTAAACCATTTAGTTTAGTTTAACAAATTAACCAAATATCTTAATTTCTTTAGCAGAAAATGTGCCCTAGTCAAGAAGACAGACTAGATTCAACTTTCAAAATGTCCGCCGTTTGCCCTAATGCACGCACGTAACCTGTTTTCCAAAGAAAATAGGTTCCGGTATAGTTTGTGCTCCACATTGAGTTCATTAAATGCATTTTCTATACGCTGACGCAACTGTTCCTCATTGTCAACAGCTTGGAAATACACTTTTTGTTTCATTTGACCCCACACGTTAAAATCCATTGGGTTGAGGTCTGGTGACCGTGGAGGCCAATTTATGGCAGCATCATTTCCTCGGCCAATCCAGCGATTTGGGAAGTGCTCGTTTAACCACTGTCGACATTGACGGTTGAAGTGAGGAGGGGCGCCGTCATGCATGTACCATAAGGAACCTCGTCTTACCAAAGGAATATCCTCTAAAAATTCATACAATCTAGTAGACAAAAATTGATGGTACATTGCTCCGGTTAAATTTCCAGGCATGATGTGATATCCAAATAGATTATTTCCTAATGTGGCAGCCCAAACATTTATTTTAAATGAATGCTGATAATGGGTTACCTTCCGAGCATTAGGATTTTCTTCGGCCCACATATGTTCATTGCGCATATTAAAAACACCGCTTCTGGTAAAGGTAGCTTCATCGGTAAAAATAATATTCGATAGAAACATCGGATCTTCGGCTTGCCTGTCTAAAACCAACTGACAAAACTGTCTGCGCATGGGCCTGTCCTGTGGTAAAATGTCTTGGGCCTGTCTATAATGATAGGGATACAATTGTTGTTCTCTCATTATCCTCCATACTGTCATATGAGACATGTTATTTTGAACTGATAGTCGTCTTGTACTAAGTGTGGCGTTAGCTTCAACTAAATTTAAAATATTTTCCTCATTCAGGACATTTCTAATTATTCTACGCCTGCCTCTCTCAAAATTGTTCCTTTTTAACGTACCCCGTTCTCGCAAACGCCTTTCTGTGCAAAGAAATGTTTTGTAATTGGGCACATTTCTGTTGGGGAACTTTTCACCGTATCGTTGTGCGGCTGCTCTTGCGCTTCCATGACATTCACATAACGTCAAAAGCATATCTACATACTCAGAAAATGTATACTGTTGCATTTTTAAATTATTTGATATTTTTATTTACTATAAAACGGCACTGCGAATACTCAAATGACACAAATTTGAAACTAAAAATACTTGACATTTCTGTTAACTGTCAGACTAGTTGTTTTCCCCATGGCACACTGCAATTAATTTATTTTGCTATGTAATGAAAGTTGAATTTGGAGCACGTTGGGAATGATTGAAATCGATTTTACTGGAAAACGGCACATCCTAGTGAAATTTAACAAGAGGACCTTTTTTATGTTAAATACTTCAAATTTCAATATTTTCGAGTCAGGAACTAGAAAAAATTGACTACAAAAAAGATATGATTAAATTTGTCCCTGGGTCCTGCATTTTCTCACGCCCCTGTAGCAAATTTTGAAATGTATTTTATGAGACTTATTAAGCACGTCAAGGTTAATATCTCACCAAAATTTCGTGACTTAATGTCGAGCCGTTTGGATGTTACGCATTAAAAACTGTTTCCGAGGTTACCCCTTTAGGAGAGCGTAGCTCCCTTAGGAGCCGCCACTGACAAAAATTGTGCTAAAGTTTTCGTCATTTTTCGACTTGTTTTACAAGCTCAGAAATTTTGAATACTTATTTCAGTTACACCTTGTAGATAGGGAAATATTTCTCGAAACAGCGGATAAAAAAATGACCTCAAACGTATTAATCTTATTTTATGACCGACTTGTAAAATATTGTTGATATTACGTATTTTGAAAATATTAACACTTACTTTACCATTATAAATAAAAAAAGTATTTTATGTTCCAGGTTTATGCCAGAAATGAACAACCCAGTACATATTCTCAAATTGCTACATCATTTCATGTAACAACTAAAATCGACGGTGATTATTTGATAACTCAAGTCCACAATTGAAATAAAATGTGTATTTTTTTAGTACCACATTCTCCTTACGATGTGATAACGACATGGACCGATAACAATGATCTGAGTATATCTTGGAAGCATCCCAATGTCACAAACGGAAAAATTAAGAAATTTACAATCAATTTTAAGCCTGACCTGAACCAAAACTTTTCAAAGGAAATTAAATCTGAAAACGATTATAACTTAACGTATACGTACTTGGTAAGCATGTATTCCCCATGTTTTGGCCTCACTTTCTATTTACGACATGAAAAAGGATACCACAAAAATTCCAGAGACAATTTTGTCAGTTTCAGAAATAATTTTATTTCAGACATTATGTTGCAGAGTAATTTATGACATAATTATTTTGTATTTTTCAACAAATACTTCTTATATTTTCAGATTCAGAAAAAACACTTCACCAAACCATGTACAAAATACAATGTGAGTGTAACTGTTCACAATGAACAGTATCAAAATGAGTCTAATAAATACGAAGAATGGAGCCCCCCACCAGTGCATAATATTTCTAACAATACGATCAAAATAACTAACGACACGAACCACACCATATTCATTGAGATTTCTAAGATTGAGGACGATGAAGAAACTGTTAAAAATTGCAGCAGAATGTTTTATATTCTAACTTCTTCGTCAACTGATAAAGAAAAAATTGAAACTGATATAAATATATTTGAAAAATATTTGAAAAATAATTCATATCGTCAAACACTCGGCAATATTAAAGAGCACGTTAAAAAAGATCTAAATGTGTTGCCCTATAACGAAATGATCTACACAAATGATTCAGTTGGTAAAGTAAACCGCTTGTACATATACTTTGTTAACGAATGTTATGGGAAAATCGAAATAAAGAAAGTAGAAAAGAATCCATTTTCAGACCCGGAGGTTGGCAATAAAGGCTTATATGCCTTAATATTATTAATATTATTGGTGCCATTAATCGTTTATATATACTTGTAAGTATAAAAGTAACTGTTTTTTGAAAATAACTATTGTGCTTATTTTAAATCTACACCACAAAAAATGCAATAATGAACCGTTGTTATATACTTAGAGGCTTAGAGGAGAGACACGAGCAGCAGCTATGGAATTTAAAATGCTTGCGTTAACAAAGCTGTTTCCCGTATCTGTAGCCTGTATAGTCTATCAGAATCTAAAGCGTCGATTCTCCACTATGGACGTACCCTTAGAGAAAGAATGGGGTATTTGTCAATTTTTCACAATATTAGCTTAAAATAAAATAATATAGCAAAAAACTTTACCAGTCTAGGAAGACAATGGTAAAGACCAAAATTTTGGAAAATTTTCTTACGATTCAAAGAATATAAAGACACAATTAACTGTTCTGCATTTCGAAGATATAAACCAAACTTTTATTTTTTTTAATTGGACACGTGTGTATTTGTCATTTTTCTGAATTCCTTTCTTTTTTCTGATTACAATGATATATAGGGTGTTCCAATTAAAACGTCCCACCTAGAAAATATCGGAATTAAAAATAAAACAAAAAAAACCTGAGACACGTCGATTTTCTTTTCAAGAGGGACGTGATCGCGTAAGTTTTGGTGTCTTCGAAGCTACCCCTGACGACATTGCTCAACAACTTCTCGATAAAAAAATGTATTTCGATTTTTCGTTTATCTCTCAATACAAAAACTTCATACGCAATCAGCTCAACTTTTTTACTTGCTTTACTTTAAACGAGACAATATTGTCTCGTATTGTCTTGTCGAGACAATATCCCGTAAAATCATCACAAGGTNTTATAATATAAAAACCATCAAAAACGAAGTATACAAGAACATTGTTAAAATTTTAAGAGCTTCACTAGATTAAAAATAATTGTAACTATAGTCAAACATTCTTTTATAAAAAACAATTTTTAAGTCAATTTTTAACATTTAAACAACTAATACAGTAAAAAGGAGCCATGCCTTTGTAATGTGAACTCTCTTATCTCTCAATACAAAAACTTCATACTCAATCAGCTCAACTTTTTTACTTGCTTTACTTTAAACGAGACAATATTGTCTCGTATTGTCTTGTCGAGACAATATCCCGTAAAATCATCACAAGGTCTATTGAATTCCAATTCGTGAAAATGGTTTATATAATTGCTGGAAAACTGGAAATAATTAGTTTGTTCTACAAGAATAATGAACTTACGCCATCATGTGCCCCCTTGTGAAAAGAAAATTCCGATATTTTCCAGGTGGGAAATTTTAACTGGAACACCCAGTATATGTTTAATAGTTCTTACAGTATTTTAGTGTTCTACTTTTAAATTTAGGACTTGTATAAGGAAAAATATGTCCTTTGTATACAAGGTGGTAATGATAAGTTCTGCCAAACTTTATTGGCGTATTCTACCTATGAAAATATTCACGTTTTGCTCTATAAAAATTTTTGATAGGGCGCGCAGAGTATTAAATGTTACATACATACACGCTTCATAATTCCAGCCGTACTGTGAATGGTTGGGAAACCCTCTACAACGCGCTGTCGAAGTATTTCTATATTGGGAACTGGAGTACTATATACCATAGTTTTCAGGTAACCCCCAAAAAATAATCCAAGGGATTCAGGTCAGGGGAACGAGCCGGCCAAGCAATGGGTCCTCCTCTATCAATTCAGTGATTAGGATACTGATTATTCAGCAAAACTGTCTAACGGTAAGGCTTTAATGAGGTGGTACCCCATCATGCATATACCATAATATGTAATTGACGTAACTCCAGTGGCAGTGGCAAGTAGGTACCAATCAAATAATCGCCCACAATGCTTGCCCAAACATTCAGAGAAAACTGTTCTTGGAATCGACGTTGGGAATTAATATGCGGATTTTCATCCGTCCATTGGTGGTTATTATTCGAAATGGTTTCTTTTGTGAATTTCGCTTCATAGGTAAATAATATTAATAACTGATGATCAGGCTGTTCGCACTGTTGTAAAAACCACCGACAAAATTCAATCTACCGTTAATAGTCATTTTCATGTAATGCATGAACTCGCTGGACATAATATGGACGTAAGACGTTCCAGATTGTTGCATGTGATACACCCAAATCTGTTGATATCTGTCTGGTACTGGTCTCATTTACAGATTCCAAAATTCTGTCTTCCAAATGAACTGTACGAACAGGTCTTTCTCTTGCTCGACGTTCTGGTAGAGACACACATGCAGTTTCACGAAGTCTATGAAGTCGTTCAGCTTGTCTACCGTATGTAAAATGTATATCTGCTAATTCAATATTTATACAACGGACCATAACTAGCAGAAACGCGACAGAAATGTCTGACAGTTTCAAAATTGTGACTGTTTCCTAGTTAGAACTTGTCACCTACGTACGGTACTGGTATTTTACAATTGAAATGAATTGAATACCATATATTTTTTTAAATCTGTTTTTAGTTGTATGAAAAATAACACACGCGTTGTAGAGTATTTTGAAGTCTCAAAAATATTAGATATTGAATTTATTGTTACACATTTAGCAAATGATATACTAAGTATCTTCTTATTTGATTTTCCAATTATCTAAAGACCAGTAAATTTTACGAATACTTTACAAGAATACTTTATTGCCACAAATTGATTGTACATTTTAAAAACATTTAAAATTATTTAAAAAACCAGTGGTGTACGATTTTTTTTTTCGAAAAAGGTCCCTCCATAACTACGCCACTGGAGTGTATTTTGGAATAAGTTATCCATGAAAAAATAGTCCTATAAAAAAATGTCATCCCTCAAATTTTATCACTAAATATTCTTTGCCAATGAAGTTACAGGAAAATCATATAAATATTTGAAACTTTTAACACCCTGTATATCCGTAGGGAAGCGTTCTATATAAAATTTTTATAGGGCAAAAGTTGATTATTTTCATCGGTAGAATATGTTATTAAAGTTTGGCAAAACTTATCATTAACACCCTGTAGAACACAATGGGTTTATTATAAAACACCTTTTATAGTGTAGTATTTTTTACTTAATAAAATATACAGGGTGATTCATTAACAATGAGAAAATCGAAAGCTGAAGATACTACACGGAAAATGGTGACCATTGGCGTAAACATGCCTTATCCGTTGACAGTTTCGGAAATACAGGGTGTTGAAAGTTAAAATTTTAAATCGTTTTTTTGCGATTATTCGGAAAATATGTAGGTTAGGAACTTGAAAATTTATGAAACTATATTTTTTAAAGCGACGAATGAGATGCGTGTTGGAAATTCAGCGTTGCCCATAGAGGGCGCCACTTACGACCAATTTTATGGAAAATTTAGTTAAAAACTTTTTACCCTGTATGTCTAACATGAAACTTGGTTCAAAACCTGAAAGAGCAATTAATTTTTCCATTAGTTATGTACTCTTGTTTCATTTCGGTATGTCGATGCGTTTTCGAGAAAAATAGATTTAACGAACACTATGTTTTGATAATACGAGAAAGTAATAGCGAAACAAACTAAGTGTTTCTTCATGTTATTACAACAATTAACAATAAAATAAATGAATACCTACGTAATAATGATTTAAAGTAATTGTTCGAAGAATTCACCGTTGACACTGATACACTTTACACAACGTGTTCTGAGAGATATTCGAGTTTGAAACAACATATTGGGATTGCGTCTGACTTCGTTGGCAGCGATTTGTATTTTTTGTCACAAGTCTTCATACGAACCAATAGATTCTTTGTAAAATATATATTTCATTCGAGGCCAAATAGAAAAATCAAGAGGATGAAGTCTAGTCTTCTGGGCGGCCAAGCAAAAATGCTTCCACGGCTTAAAGAAGTTCTACTTTATTTAAGAAGTGACATGTGGGTCATGCACGACGGAACTCCACCGTATTTTCCTCGGCCAGTGCGTGCATATTTAAATGTAGTTTTTCCAAATCGCTGGATTGGCCATGTAAGCATTTTTGCTTCTCCACCCAAAAGTCCGGACTTCAATCCTCTTGATTTTTCTTTTTGCTCTTGAATTAAAGAGATATTTTACAAAGAATCTATTGGTTCGTGTGAAGAGTTGTGCGAAATAATACGAATCGAAAAATTATTAACTAAATTTTCGGTAAAATTGGTCGTAAGTGGCGTCCTCTATAACCAACGCTGAAATTGCAACACGCATCTTATTTGTCGCTTAAAAAAATATAGTTTCACAAATTTTCAAGTTCCTAACCTACGTAGTTTCAGAATAATCGCAAAAAAACTATTTAAAATTTTAACTTTCAACACCCTGTATTTCCGAAAGTATCAACTTTCGGATAAGGCATATTTGCGCCAATGGTCACCATTTTACGTGTAGTATCTTCAGCTTTCGATTTTCCCATTGTTAACGAATCACCCTGAATAAAGATCTGTTTAGTGAATTTAATAGCGGAAACGCATAAAAATGCACTGGTTCCATAACTCTTATGACGTGACATTGTAGAATGTCTGTTAAAAAATATATTTATTCATTTATTTGATACGTCACCCAATAAAAAATCCATTTACAGAGTTAGTAAAACATTAATTAATTGAAATAACATAGGGAATAAATATGACATATAAAAAACAAAAATGAATCATGCAATAATGCATAAATAGTTAAATACATAAATATAAAAACATCACACTATAAGTGAAATATTTTTTATTAAATTTGAAGGCAGTGTTAAATATGTCTAATCTATTCTGCAGATATAAGTTGACACATTAATATAATAGTGAAAATTTTAATAAATTTATATTAGTAAAATAAATGAGAACTACTAGTTGCATATTTATGCAACTTTAAATTGTTTTTTATGTATTTCTTTGAAAAACTTAAAACTTTGGTCTTTACCAATTCCTTTTAGACACAAGCAGAAAAATAAAAATATAGAATATACATATACAGGGTGTCTCATGATTAGCTGCCAACCCTGAACAGGCCGATTCTATGATCAAAACTAAGTAAAAAAGTTCATATGAACATGGGTCCGGAAATGCTTCCTAAGGGCACAGGGACCCATTGAAGAGGGAGGAATGGAAATCATTTTTTTGCAATATCTCTCAATCGCGTTGTGATAAATGAATGAAATTTGGTATACACAGCTAAATTTTGATGAGCAATTTGATGGACTAATCCATTTATTTCCACAAGGTCCATTGGGGTGGGTACGGGGGGGCCCTTGGTACTTTGCGTGTGTAACTTTTTCATCTTTGACTTTTTAACAAATTGGACAGCAAATTCCGTTTTCCCGAACTGTTTTACGTTAAAAAGGTACTCTTGTTTCAAATCGTTATCTTTAACGGTTTCTGAGAAAATCGCTCTTGAATTAATCCCACTTTGGTCAATTTCATAGTAATTTAAACAAAAAAATTTTTTTGTTTAAATTTAATCTAATTTTAATAAAAAAATAATAATAAAAAATTAAATTAAATAAAAATTAATCCTTTAAATGGAAAAGAGAGGAAAGGAAAATTATTATTATTATTTTTTGTTTAAATTACTATGAAATTGACCAAAGTGGGATTAATTCAAGAGCGATTTTCTCAGAAACCGTTAAAGATAACGATTTGAAACAAGAGTACCTTTTTAACGTAAAACAGTTCGGGAAAACGGAATTTGCTGTCCAATTTGTTAAAAAGTCAAAGATGAAAAAGTTACACACGCAAAGTACCAAGGGCCCCCCCGTACCCACCCCAATGGACCTTGTGGAAATAAATGGATTAGTCCATCAAATTGCTCATCAAAATTTAGCTGTGTATACCAAATTTCATTCATTTATCACAACGCGATTGAGAGATATTGCAAAAAAATGATTTCCATTCCTCCCTCTTCAATGGGTCCCTGTGCCCTTAGGAAGCATTTCCGGACCCATGTTCATATGAACTTTTTTACTTAGTTTTGATCATAGAATCGGCCTGTTCAGGGTTGGCAGCTAATTATGAGACACCCTGTATAGAAATAAAGGTAAAATTTGATGTGAATATCTTTGTATGTACTCAGTTCAAGTCGGGGTATACCTAAGTAGGTATTCGTATCAACTTTTGCATTATTAGTTATGTACATTCTTATTTGGCATTTTGAAATATTTCAGATACAAGATAAAAAAGAAACAGACAAGTGAGAGAAGCTTAATGTCGATTATTAAACCACAACGTAAGTAACATTTCACTGGTCATAGTTATGACTTAAAAAAAAAAACAAAGTTATCGATAAAATGTATATTTAGCGCTAGTGGTCGCTCAATTTATCCGGTTCACTTATCTCTTAACAAGAATGCATAAATTATACTGTCCCCCATATTTTAAAGCTATTTCTTTATAGGAAGGAAAGATATAGAGGAGGTACCTTTAAGTGAAAATGATCCAGCCAAATCCAATAATATAAGGAAATCGTCTATAAAACAGAAAACAATGTTACCTGTAAGTAAAACAGATTATTACATAAATAGTATATTTCATTAGGAGACTGGAAATCAGAATTTTTCCATGCGCGTGTGACAAAGTCTCGTGGTAGGCGAAACCGAACACGGGAAGTCAGGCAAGCACGGAAAAATCTATTTCTGGACGTGTAAGGAACGATATTTTTTTATTATACTTCTTTGAAAACGAAAACATAAAAACAAAATATAACGTAAAATAACATACGAAAGAAACTTGGAACGTCTTTATTTTCATAACAGTTATAAAAATAAAGAAAACATATAGAGTAAAAGTATTGAAAGTTAACTACTTGACTAACTATTAATAATAACAGCTCCAGCTAATAATGTTTTTAGTTTGAATTGTTATTATTAATCGTTATGTTTATTATGCAATTCGTATTACTGCACAGGTTTAGTCCTTTTGGAGTTTCATTTTATAAAATTGAAGTTATTGAAACAGACTTTTCGCAAATCTTTTGATTTTTTCGAACGAATGATAGATACAGTTGTTATATTTTGCGTGTGAGAAGGGTTAAATAGTTCTCGTGATAACTCAGTTTTCTTTGTATATATTCTTCTATACAGGGTGTCCCAGAAGATGTAGGCAATCTCTCGGATTTATATAGGGGACGTTAAAATAACATGACAAGTTCCTATAAAAATTTTCCCTAGGGGGACCCCCTACAGAGATACAGGCCCTTAAAAGACGCCCCTGTAAATCGATTTTTTTTTTAATAACTTTTAAAATACTTTGTGTAATTTAATTATTTTTAGTAAAAAGCTAATATAAAGAATTGTGGCAGTTTTTTAAATAGGCACAGAATGAATGCAAATTTCATCGGTTTATTTCTCTTTACGGATGTCATATCATATAATCATATTAAACAAAAATAGTTTTTTCTCGAAAACAGTTCATTTTATCGATAAATCAACCAAGAATGCCTTTTTTTAGTTTAAGAGTTCAAACTATCTAAAAATATTATTTTTGTGCCTTTATCGTAAAGGGTGTAAAAAAAATTGACATTATTGTGCTACAGCTAGATCATCCTTGGCAAACCAAATAAGCCAAATTGTTTTCATGAGTCAATTTTTAAGGAGTCTTATCTGTTGTTCATCATATTAGAAAATAATTAAATTACAGAAAGTATTTTAAAAGCTTTAAAAAAAAAATCGATTTTCAGGGGTGTCCTTTGTGGCCCTCTAGGAAAAATTTTTGTAGGGACCTGTCATATTATTTTAACGTCATCTGTATAAATCCGAGATATTGCCGACATATTCTGGGACATCCTGTATATTCTTCTGCCGTTTTCCACCAACATGATTGCCGAAGAACGCCTTAGTCCATTCCCGGTATATTTTCTGGTATCCAATGTAACACCCGCCATTTCGATATGCAACAAATAATCTTATACTATTCATATTTTTAGATTATACATAGAATTGCATATTTACGATAAAGTGTGCAGGGTTCAAATATGTACATCCCTCATAGCTAATGGTGAAACTTCTTGATGTATGAATTTTTCCATCTCGTAAAAACGCGAAAGAAAGCGCTGATTATCGACCACATTGTCTAAATTTAAACGTATTAAATCATCTTTTTGACACGCACCAAAGATCCCAAACACTAAAATTGCTTTTGGCAGTAGATATTGTTCAACTTCACAGAAAAATTTGGTTACGTCTTGTTCTGCTTTTAAAATTTTGGACTTTTTCCGTATATATCTTACAGCTTGACGCTTCAAGAAAGCAACAGTTTTTGGATATTTGTTGATGTTAGCATTTCCTTTTATGGCCAAACAACATTTTACCATTGAGAATCGACTCTATAAAGTGGAACATTTACATAGAAAACCCAAATGCTGACACGGAAAGAAAAAAAAATTGCTGAAGCTGGAAAACGCTTCCTCCTTGCGTTGTACGGTTACAAAAAAGTATGTGGTTAAACACCTACAGATATACATCCTTCACGAAGTCAGCATTTAGAAATAAATTTAATATTGCATCGCTGCCATCGAGGAAGAAGGTGATGAAGTCGAAGAACCCTATCGCGGATAACTTGGAAGAACTTCCTACCCGTGAGGTTTTACTCAACAGTGCATCACAAGTGGATTAGGCCTACTGGTGATACCACTAAAAAAATGTGCCAGGAACTCTACCTCATGGTGGTGTGGAAATGAGTTTGTTGGCCAATACGCATGTTGAAGTAAACTTTGCGGTGTTCGTATGCCGAAACTATTCATTTTACAGAAAAAGGTTGATACATAAATTATAGGAAATGTTCTCTAGTTTAATTTATTACATACATTTATGCCGTAAAGTGAGTAGGAAAGGAAATATCGTCGAAAAACTGTTTTGGAGCGTCATTTTTCCAATATGGCGGCTACTTCCGGAAAAAAAAATAGGTGACAAAGAAAAATTCGGAAAGAGCACGTCAAAATCTATAAATATACCAATTTTCAAAACTCCCCTAAAACTTCACAGGCAAAAACTTCCAGCTGATTGGACTATATAGAAATGTATCTAAATATTCAAACATTTACGAATTAAAATACAAAATAGGTACCTGTTAAATATCAGATAGCATATAAACTTTCTTAAATTCAGTTTACTTTGCTGTATAATTCTATTTTAAAGCTATTTTAAATATATTCGACATTTTTATTCAGAACACGGAAAGAATCGGAGATCGAGAAAACTTTTTCCGTGCGCTGTTTCCGTGAGCTAACCCGAAAAAGCCCATCTTATATTATTATTAACACAGATGTATAAGATGTGTAAGGTGTATTCAAAGAATCATAAAAAAATATTTTATCCACAATCACCTTATAATCGGACTTTTATCCACACATATAAAGTGATACTAAAGTGATACTTTATCCACTAGTGGATTAAAGTAACTTTATTTCGCTAGAAGAATCATGGAAAAATAATAAATCAAATTTAATTTATTTACTCTTTAACATTAACTTTTACATTTATAGTAATACACATTTCGATTTTTGTTTTATCACATTTAACTTCCTTTCGTTAATAACAACCCTTGTAGCATTGTTCATGTTCATTTTCGGAAGTTTGTGAAGAATTTGCACAAGTTACGGATGTCTCTTCTTGTAAGGAACAGCTATATTTTCCTTGCAATATCATGTTTGTTAGATAGACTCCTCAACATAACTTTCTGCTACAGAGGAGTTCTTCCATCCACCATGCCTTTTGATGGTTGTAAGGTCAGCACCTTTATTGGCCAATAAAGTTGTTGAAGCGCGCCTCACACAATGGCCAGTATATGCTTCTGCATTTGCGATATTCAGGAATGAAGCAACTATTGAGAGTACCTTCGCCAATGATGTGTTGATTCCTACAGGCTGAGAAGTACATTTTTAATTGGTGTACCTTAAAAAGAATATGTATTGTGTTAGGCGAATTGGGCGCAGAGAAATATATTTTCTGCATATTTCAACAGGATTCACACAAAATCCTTCTTCTATAATTGTAAATTTTCTTGAAATTCCCGTCTTGGTGTCNACAGTCAGTGGTTCCAACATGATGGTGCCCCTGCACATTCCACACTGGCGGAAAGTTTTCTCATTATGTAAGTTATGTAAATTCATAGAAAAACTGTTTCAGGTTATAGAATACTTAAATGATTTGTATCCAGATAAGTGAATAAGCCAATTCCATGGCCTCCCCGATCCCCAGACCTGTCTTGTCTTGATGTTTTTTATGGGGCTATATAAAAGACAGGTGTATGAAACTTCTCCGACAGATGTAGAAGATTTACGGGCAAAGATAAGAAATGCTTTTTTGACCCTATCTTCGGAAATGCTGCGAAATGTGTCAAGCAATTTTCGTCGTAGAATAGCTCAATGTCTATAGAAAAATGGCAGACATTTTGAGCGGTTACCTGTTAATTACTAGTTTAACTAGGTCTCTATTACTTTTGTTAGAAATGCACGATGTTANGGAATGAAGCAACTATTGAGAGTACCTTCGCCAATGATGTGTTGATTCCTACAGGCTGAGAAGTACATTTTTAATTGGTGTACCTTAAAAAGAATATGTATTGTGTTAGGCGAATTGGGCGCAGAGAAATATATTTTCTGCATATTTCAACAGGATTCACACAAAATCCTTCTTCTATAATTGTAAATTTTCTTGAAATTCCCGTCTTGGTGTCAGGTATTGAAACATTATGTAACTGCCAACGTCCTGTACGTCGCTAATTTTCAAATTTGTCAATTCGCAGCATCGATAGGCACCCAGAAATTCCCATTATTACTGCAACCTGAAATAATTCAATGTTCACTATACAGGCTGTTAAAAAAAGAGTGTAAAATATTTCAGGAGGTAATAGTATGAACCAAAATAAGCAGAAAAGTCTTAATAAACATGGGTCCGCAAAGTAACAGTTGCGGAGATATGGACCACTATTCGTTTTTCAAACATTTTATTTTATTAGGAATAAACCGACAAAGGAAGCTTTTAACAAACAAAAAACAAAGTTAGAGAAGATGTTCTAATATAATCTGGACATCAGGCACGTTTTTCATTAAACATTTGGATGGGTATTGTCGGTGACAGGTTTCTAGGTCCTGTTGTTTTACCAAACCTTGACA